TGAAAATCAAATATCCTTTATAGTTACCTGGATTTTATCATTTTAACTGTAGTTGCTAAGCAACTGTAATATTCTTACTCCAAACAGTTCACTCATTTTTGTTATAGGTGGTTAAAAATGATAAAAAACAAAAATGATTAAAGCAAACTTCATTTTCAGGAAATGTAGGTGTAGTATAAACATGTTATATTACACTTATAGTACCTTCCAAAATAATTGGCTTTTTTAGGATAAAAAAAATATGAATATACAAAATTTTCTTCCTCTTCTTTAAGATGGCCTGACAATGTAGCACTTTTATTAGCACTGATTTTGTTACACAAAACAACCTGTGTGAAATTGTACAGCAAATTTTCCATTTGCACATTTCATCTTCTTAAAAGTTTTTTATATGCATCACATAGATGATCAGAATACTGGTGGTCCTTGACATACAACAGTTACTTTAGTGACCTTTCAAAGTTACAACTGAAAAAAGTGACTTATGAATCACGTGATCATCTTTGGTGACCTTCTCAGAAGCCAATGGGAGTCAATGGGAAAGCTAGATTTACTTAACCATCATCTTACTAAGTTAACAATTGCAGTGATTCACTTAACAACTGTGGGAAGAAAGGTCATAAAATGTGGCAAAAATCATTTAACAATTATCTCTTTTAGCAACAAAAATTTTGAGCTCAATTCTGGTCACAAGTCAAGGATTACCTTTAGTGAATTATATGACAAGCTCAATGTTTGTTACTTCAATCAAAGCCGTACTGCTGACTAAAATCTAAGGAGGATAGTTTTGGCTGAAATGTATGCTATGCTGATTAACAAAGCAAGGGAGGATATGAAAGCTTTTTAATAAAAGCACTTTGCATACTGCAAGCTTTTAAATTAATCTGGGACAGAACAATGCTGCAGATACTAATGACACAGAACAGTTCATTAATTTCAAGCTTGTCTGCAGAAAACAGCTTGTTGTTACGCAATGAACTTTTAAAGCACCCTATTGCAGATTTTTAAAGGGCAACACTGGAAATCTGAACACAATGGAAATGGATTGTTCATATTGGCATACGCCCTAAAATGTAATCCCGATAAACTAACTACATTTGTAATGTTTTCTACTTCAATTGTATAGATGACAAAAATTCACTTCTGCAAAACAGAGCACAATTATTGCGCTCAAAATTGGTTGAAATCACTTAAACCCAAACTACTGATACAGACTAGTATTGGCAGGAATACTAGGTTTATACATAAGTTTAAGATGAAAAACAGATTTTTCAAAGTTTTTGGAGTTCTGGTGGGAAAAGAGGTGGCATACAGTGAAATACAACTACAGCAACATGAACATTTCAATATGAATTAGTTTTGTAAGTATTCATTTTTAAAACAAGATAGCTTTATTTATTTCTATGTACTTATGTATTTATTTAATGTATAGAGTACAGTATATAGGAAGGATTAGCCATAAAGCATCGCACACATGTAAGTTTTATATTAATTTAAAACAGCTAATTAAAAACAAGGAAAGTAAAAGCTACATTTCAGTTAAAATGTGATTTAACATTAGGAAACAACAGACTGAATTTACCAAATCAAAATAGCTAGCCTTAAAACAATACTGCCACTACCACCGAAGTGATCACCAACATCATCTATACAGCAAAAGTTATACTACTTGGGACAGAGAAAGACTAATCTTTCATGTCAGAAAATTTTTACTTTGGTGGTCAATCTAAAAATAAATCTGAAAGTTTAGTCAAGAAGCACTCTCAGACAGAGATTTTCAGTATCACCCAACTTTAGCTAACAGACCAATTCCTAGAAAATGTGAACACTCATAATGTATTCCAGAAAAGGTAAAAATGTAGTACAGAAAAGAACTCATGTTAATTCAGTATGTGTAAAATGTAATTGAAACATTTTAGCCTACTGGGGAATCTTCTTTCTTTTAATATAGCATTTTAGGATACTTGGAGAAAAATGTGAAAAATAATGAACAATAGTGACTTCTAAAACTAAAAGGGGAATATAATGAAAGCCTTTTGCAAAGAAAGAGAATGCTTGAAAGTTTACATGTAATGTAGCAATAAACGAATTATAATAGTAGAAAAGGCAAGAAAAAACAAAGACAGCTGAAATTATCCCACCTGAGGACATTGAATATATTCAGATGAATAAAACAGCTTGTTTAATCAAGGTCAATAACTCATAGTGCATTAATCTTTACTAAAAACCTGGTTCACATGAATATGTACAGGGAGAAATACAGTAAGACTCAATTTGAGTCTGTATGGTTGTGGTAGTTTGGACCCTCAGGTCATGGAAATGTTTAGTGTAATTTCTGTGGGATAGCTTATACCAGGTCATCTTGCATAAAGAAAACTGGGGTCATTTATATAAAAGCTAAATCCTGGGAAAGTGGGAAAGAACGGGACACCACTCTTACCTTCCTGTTTAATTACCTGCCCATCACGTGAGAGGACATCTACACCCATATCTCTGGAAATTCAGGCAGAAAAGGAGGAAGAAATTCAGGAAGAAAAGGAAAGGTAGTCCTGGAAAAGTCTGAGGGAGTTGGAAAGTGGAAATCACAGGAAGGGATTTAGCATATCTGTATGTATATGTTTATGAATGACAACTTGCTACAGTTAAGAACCAGATTTGGCCCCATAAGACACTCAGGTTTATCTGAGATATTTGATAGTGGTGATATGAATTTTTACATATTGCTAAAGAGTTGGATGTTGTCACAAGCTGTGAGTTAGAAAGCTTTGGCCTTGCTTTCTGCTACGTGGTCTTTTTGGTTCTGCTTGTCAGTGATTTTCTTTTTCTTGATGTATTTTGTTCCCTTTTGATTATTTTAGTTATAGATTGATCAGAATCATCATTTGGACAGCCTTGAAAAAAACTAACTGACTAATTAAATAACATTGGGGCATCCATATATTTTATTTTAGGCAGTACTCAATGTTGGCCTGAAAAGTTTTGTCCATTTACCAAAGGTGATAATGAAAATGAAAATACTTTACCTCTGTGGACAATCTAAGGTTTTTAATTACATTACATGAGCGGTGCTTATAAACAAAAATGGGTCCCTAAATTAAAAATTAAGTTAAAAAGTGGTCACAAGATAGAAGAGTAATCCAATCAGATGATGATGATGCCTGTGAATTTTTTTTAAAGCTCCTCATCAGTGGTACAATTTGCTCCATGGGAAATTAACTCAAATATTAATTTCCTGCCATTCTTTTAAGGTAAAATCAAACTACTGGTACAAATGTAGCATTGTCAAAGAACACCATTCTATGTTTTAACAGTTTCTAAGAAATAGCAAACTTTCTCATTAATCAACTCTGGCTTCCAGCATATATCAATCTAAATATTTACTTGCTATTTATTATCTTGCAAATCTATAAATTAGCCATGTAAAAGAGACAAGAAAAAAGAGAGTAAATAGTGACTGGACAGGTCTGTTGCCCATATTTGCTGACAGGAAAAAGTTGAAGAAAATCCTATTCTACTGTAATTACTGATAATATTTTAACCAATTTAGTACTTCCTTCACATACAATAATCAACTTAGTCCTTCTACAGTAGACACCAACACTCTAGTCTAGAACAAGAATTTAATGCCATCATTAAAGTTCACACTAACCAACTGCACACTCTTGGAGTTCAGTATGCCATGACACACACGATTTCTGAAAAAAAATGTAAATTATATGTTTGTACATATTGTGTATGGATGATGAAGCAGATATTTCATACATGGCATGGTAGGAGAAAAGCCATGTTAATCTCTGAAGGTAGTAACTTTTTGGATAAACAAAGTTCATTTAAAAGTGTAAGCTTTCATAAACTGCAATTCACTTCATCTGATACTGAGTGGCATACTGATTCAGGGTTTAAACTGGGGTGAGGCAAGGTGGAGACAGGTTGATTATAAAGATGGAAATTACATGTGAAACAGCTTACAAGCACCTCATTAATTCACATTTGTAATGTTTTAGAAATGCATTATATTTCTTGAGGCATTCTGAGATTGCTTGAAAATCTTTGATATTTACTATTTCCAAAATAGTCACTTTAAGATCTTCCATAGATTGACTTACCATGTTCTTATTTTGAAGTTTGATTTCAAATGTGAAATTAAAATTGTAGCAAAAGTAAAGATGGCATGAATAAGGATTTTTGTAGCTAGGAATTTCACTCAAGTTATTTCTATACATTACAATTACTATTATTACAGACAGAATGAATATGACATTATTTTCAATAGTGAAATATTGAAAACTGTTCAAAAATTATGAAGTTATCTGTAAGTTTTCCATGGAGCACAATTGCAACTACGGATAATTTTGAGTAGGAAAACAGCATAAAATAGCATGAAGCAGCGTGGTTCAAAGAAAATACTACTATTACTGTATTTGATAAACTATGGCGTTCTTAAACTGTACAGCTTCCATTGTGCACCAAGAACCACTTTTACCCAATCTCTGCATTTTGTTATCAACATTTAATATGAAATAAATTGAAAGATATAAAATGACAAATTATAGTTTTATTAGCTAATAATGTCAAATAATAGACAGAAATGAACATATACAGAGGAAAAGAGAACAATCTAGAGCAGCTTTATCTCAATCTTTTTGGTGTGAAGTAATCTTTGAAAAAATTTTCAGGCCTCATAAATCTGTAGCATAGAAATAGCACAAAACATGAAAACTGCACAGTACAATTCATGTTTAATTACACACCCACATATTTTACAGTGTTGACAAACAGCACAGTGATGGGCTTTGTCAAAATTCCCACAATGTAAGTGCTATCATTGCTTTCCACATGAAAATTTAAAAATGTTAATTTTTTAATTTTTTAAATCAGAGAACTCCTTGTAACCACTTTGAATATCCTAGGTCTATGCAGAACCTCAATTGAGAAAGGCTGTTAGAGCCTATAGTATGAAAGAGCACTATTTAAAAAGTGAAAATTAAGCACAAACTTACTGTTCCTGTTGTGCCCAAGGAAAGATGACTCATCTGTTGTGTCAAGGGGCCCATCATACTTGCTGGCTGCATGGACATTGTATGATCCATTGTTGGCGTTAACACAGCACCCTATAAATACACATAGATTATGCAAAGCTAGAAAAGGAATAAGAAAAAGTTAGCCAAAGAAACCATAACATGAACTTAAAAGACAAATAAATGGAAATATAACTAAATCAAATTTAGTCTTTCTCTAATAACTTTCTCTATACATATCCTTGCAAACCATCCTTAATTCTATCACATCCACAATTTCTATTATGTCTATATATTTCATACATTGCTACTGTTGTTTTTTTAGTTTCTCAATTATCTTTTTTTCTGAGAAGCTCATCAGTTCCAACAGACTATAACTTTTCTGATTTTGAGGAGTCCTTGGTGCTATCTGATTTGATTGTTTTCTTGCAAACATTTCATTACCAAAACTAGATAACATTATCAGTGCTAGTGATGAGGCCATCAATGTTTTTTTGATCTTCTGCTTCCTCTTGATTCTTTCTCATATATTTGGTTTGTGATTCAGTTCTAATTCATTATTTTTATTTGATCTGTCTATATGATTTGTCTTGGTCATTCACTTTTGAGTTCAAGCATCTGCAGTAAATATATATATATATATATATATATATTGCGGCACTCTTCCCCCAATACTCCTTAAATTACCATTTCCTATAGCATTCAACATGTTTTTTTATGTGTCTCCTAACATCTGCAATTTCACATAGTTCTTTCAACAAACATTTATTCTTCATAGCAGACATACAGATACAAAACATAATGTGTCTGCCAGTATTTACATGATTTAAATTTCTTCATCCATTTTCCTTTGTTTTACATAGATTTTATGAAGTACGCAAATTCATCTGCTTGAGCGTATTCTTGCCATTCAGGCTAATATGTTATTGTCCACTCTATTTTCTCCTTCATATAGAAATATCTTTATTTTTTTAATACAAACATTTATGGAATCATTCTCCCAACTGCATGATATATAACCTGTTTAATATTTAATGTATACCATTTAATTTTTCAGGCACCAAGATAAGATTGTATGCTTATAAAATGCATATATACACTTTCCACGAACATACCTCTAATGTCACTACAATCATTCCTTATTTATTTATTCTTGAAGGTTTTAAACAACTAGGGGGATATCATACATTCTTGCCTTAGTGCCCATTGCTGAATCATTCACTAAGGATTTGATTTAGTCTCATTCAACATTTTCCTTTTCTACATGCATGATTGGAGCATAAACATGGATGATTATCATGTGTAAAAGGTTTTCCAAAAAGTCTAATTGATATTATTTGGCCAATAATTGATTGTGTCAAGTGTTATTTTTGATATAACTGTATAAAAATGGATATTTATTTTTTGTTTTCATGTGCTAAATAATAAACTGTGTGATCTTCTGACTGAAAGTATCCAACCCCAGTCCATCTCAATTTGCTGGTGCCTGAGGTGTCAAATTTAATATTTCATAGTACTGAACTTTCTTTCTTTTCAGGCTTCCTGTGAAGATGGACAATAGAGTACAAGCCTAGGGATGCTTGTCTCTGGACTGTGGTTTTTTTCAATTTACTAACAGAAAGAACAGGTTTTGCTTTAATTTATATGACTCTCTTGGGTTAGAGATAGTTCTAAAATGATGCCACAAAATACTCCATACAGCAGGAACTGTTCTTTGGAGCAGCCAATGAGCCATTCAGCTGGGGGCAGGCTGAAAATTATCAAACCATTGTCACAAATAACTGACAATGGCAAAGGCTTAACTGCAACTTTAGAATAATCTGACATCAATCTTTATTAAGAAGAAGATTTAAATACAATCCTCCCAGCACAACTGGAAGAAGATTGCTAAGCAAATCTACAATTCTCAAGGTCAAGTTTGGGATTTTTTTCTTCATGGATATTAACAAGGTTGAGAACTTCTTCAGAAAAAAGAGACTTGACAGACATTCCAGACAAGAAAAATATTTTATTCTATGATGATATTTATAAATATTTTCAAAGAAAAGCTGAGTTTTAAAATGAATGTAAAAATGTTTCCCCCTTGAGATGAAAGAATCTGAAAATATAGTAAATTATGTTAATATCAGTGATGATAGTCTATAATGATTAATAAGTGTAAACAGAAATACATATTATTTCCCCCAGCAAAAGAAAAAGAAGAAATAGTTAAATTGATTATGTTATTGAAAGAAAAGAACATACTAATTTTATTTCTATTTAAAACTGCTTCTGGATTTTGTGCTTGTAATGGAAAAAAATGAAGCACTGATTTTGGTTTTGCTGATTAGATAGGTTTGTTGTTATAGAAGTGATTAGTATCCTGTATACTATTGTGTAAAAGTAAAAATTATATTATATTCTCCCTTTATATGACCCTGTATACCAGTGGTGGGTTTCAAATTTTTTTAGAACCTCTTCTGTAGGTGTGGCCTGCTTTGTGGGAGTGGCTTGCTAGCCATGTGACTGGGTGGGTGTGGCCAACTTGTAAAATGTGGTGAAACTCACTTAACAACGCTCTTGCTTAGCAACCAAAATGTTGGTTCAAAAGCACGCAAGTCTTAAAGCTGTCAAGTTACAAGACCCTTGCCCCCCTAACCCTTTAGGGGAAAAAAAACCCAGGGTGTTCAAACTTGACAGCTTTAAGACTTGTGGACTTCAACTCCCAGAATTCCTCCTTCAATCATGTTGGCCCAGGAACTCTGGCATTGAAGTGTCAAGTCATAAAGCTGTCAAGTTACAAAACCCTTGCACCCCTAACCCTTTAGAAAAAACCCCTCAAGGGTTTTCAAACTTGACAGCTTTAAGACTTTAAGGTTTAGATAGGATTCTTAGAGGCGGGCGAGTTGATTGGTGAGCCAGCCAGTCAGTGAGCAGTGGGCGGGGCAAGCGTGGTGCGGATGGGTGTGGGGAGGTTTGCATATTTGTTTTATGAGTCAATTCTGGAAATTGCTTTTCAGCCAATTAAAATTTCTGGATCAACAAGTTTTGCAATACCTTGTAAATTTTGGTAAATACCTGGTAAAGCTTAAGAACTTGCTTTTTTTTCTAAATGAGCAGCAAAACATGATCAAAATTTTGATAATACAAGAGAAAGTTACATATTGCTTAGGACCTCCAATAAAATTGAAAAAAAGATTTTGGAATTAATTATAACGAATTCCTCCTGTGGGAAAATTCTCTTGTATTGATTTTTTTTAAATAGATTTTTAAAAAATGGATGCTAGAACAAACTAAGCATTTCAATTAAGTTTGATGTATAATTACAGAATGAAGCAAAACATTCTAAAACTGGGCATACTGAAGATTGTGGTATCTTATGAAAAATGGGAGTTGTTATATGAGGAATAGTTTTTATCCAATTAGATCAAACTAAATTGAAATTGAATTACAAATGAAAAACTACAAAAATGATTTGGAAAAAGATGTTGCACTGGATGTACAAAAGAGCCCAACTGATCTTTTAATAATTGAATAGGGTATACAAACAATAAAGGAAAAGAGTGACTTGGATAATTTTCCTAATTTGGATTTAAAAAGAGGCTCATTAAAATGTTGACAAATCTCATGAGAAAATCAAAAGAAGCCAAGTTCTATATTATTTGAATAGATTAAAGATTGTTAGAAGTAAAGGGAATATAAGGTTGGTTTATTTGATCAAGATTACAATCGATAAGTTATTATTTATAGCAATTGCAATGGTCTTTATCGTAATTCCTAATGGATTTTGTTGACACCAGGACTAAAATGACAATGTTCATATATAAGCTATGGAACATGGCAGGAGTCACTACTGCTGATTTGCTCGTGGGTGCACTGTGCACATGCGCAGTGCAATAAAAATTGTTCTGCACATGCGCAGAAGCGAAAAGCAAGATGGCAGAGAACCGGTTCGGGGGCGTGGCAGGCCTGGGTCACTGCCAGTTCCAGCGACCCAGGCCACCAAACCACTACTGGTTTGGCTGAACTGGTCCAAACCAGTAGGAACCTACCATTGGAACATGGGAAAAAGACATCATTCTTTGTATTTTAATAGAAAGTTACAAAAGATGTTACAAAATGTGTTTATATTTATTAAAGGTGGGGAAAATACTTGTTTCTTCTTTCTCTTGCTATATTCTTATTATTTTATTTTATAATTTATAAAACATTTTAGCTATATAATATCTCACATAGCAGGATTATATTTAGCAGGCTTTGTAGACTCCATTTAGAAAAATATAAGTATTTCTTATCTGGCTGGCATCTAGTATCAACAGCAAAATTGAAATGTGAATGATAAGTTCTGATCCAAATTTTCATGCTTGTATTATGATGTCAGAAGCAAGTCTGTAAGTCATGTGGTTTGTACTGCAACTCACATTTCATCATTTTCCCCCCTCATGCCTCCCCAGCAGATACCTGCAAATATTATGGTCTGTTCTGACTTCTTGGAATCAAAAGCTGAAGGGTTTAATAATCAAGTTTCTAGTTTCAGAAACCACTAAACAACCATAAATAGTAACTAGACATTTGTGGGTAGACTCAGATAACAAGGGATAAGTTTCCAGCAGGGCTGCTTGCCACAAGATATGCCAGCAACTTCGGAGAACACAGCAAAGGTGATATATTCCTCAATAAGTAAGCACAACATCCCTAGATTAGCCTTTGAATATTAAAATTATAGGGATGCAATGGTTCAGTGGCTAAGGCACTGAGCTTGTTTATTGAAAGGTTGGCAGTTCAGCGGTTTGAATCCTACTGCTGCGTAACGGGGTTGGTTCCTGTTACTTGTCCCAGCTTCTGCCAACCTAGCAGTTCGAAAGCATGTAAAAAATGCAAGTAGAAAAACAGGGATCACCTTTGGTGGGTGGGAAGGTAACAGCGTTCCGTGCACCTTTGGCATTTAGTTATGCCAACCACATGAACATGAAGATGTCTTCGGACAGTGCTGGCTCTTTGACTTTGAAACGGAGATGAACACTGCCCCCTAGAGTCGTCAATTACTAGCACATTTGTGCAAGGGGAAATATGTGCTAAAATTATACACTAAATATGCACCCATCCACCATAGA